CGCCTGGTCCTTCCATTCATTCTTTAGATCACAACTGAGTTAGGGAGGAGAAGATCCCTCCCCACCCACAGGCCTCTGTGCGTACTGCATTACAGCCCTGGCCACCCTGGACATAAGCTGCCTGCTTGCTCATCTGTCTCCCTGACTAGTTACCTGGACCATGGTAACAGCCTCTTCACTGGCTCTCTGCCTTCCATTTCTTGTGAACCCAGCAGCCAGAATGATCTCTGAGCTGACCATGTTGCTTCCTGTGTAAAACCCTCTGTGGCTCCCTATTACCCCCGAGAACAGAGGCCAAACTCCTTACAACATTCGCAAAGATTTCACCTTCCAGTCTCTGCCTGATTCTTCATCCCTCTCTCTCACCACCCTCCACCATGTGGAATCCTTTCAGTTCTCCAAACTGGCTGTTGTTTTCTGCATAGAACACTCTACTCCTCATTTTTTGCCTGGCCTAACTTCCTCAGTGCCCAGCTTAGACAAAAACCTTCCCCGCACCACTGCCCTATACTTCTCTGCCCACTCAGCATTGGTCCTTACCCCTTTGTCCGCCTCCCCTATAGACCGTCAGCTCTGAGAGGGCAGGGGCCAACTGCATCCCCTCCTCTGCTGTCATTCCTGGCATCCAGCAAGAGGCCTGCTACCTAGAATGCTGAATGAAAGAATGGACCTCGGGGTTTGAGAGTGGAAGCCTGGGCAGGTCTGTCTTGGGGCCGCTGCATCCCCGTGCTCAGTCTAGGGCACAGCATCTCGAGTTCGCAACTGTTTCAGGAAGAAGGCAGGCGGGTGGGCCGGCCCCAGAAACGCACATTATACCTCCGAGGAAGTGAAGGGAGGGATGACAAAGCAAAGCTTGAGGGCTCCGAGAAGCTCTCAAGAAAACAAATGCAGTCATGAGCCCACTTCTGTAACCCAAGGCTTTGGAAGACCGAGGCGAGTGGATTGCTTGAGGTCAGGAGTTTGAGACCAGCTTGGGCCACGCGGTGAAACCCCCGTCTCTACTAAAAACACAAAAGTTGGCTGGGCATGTTGGCGGACACCTGTAATCCCAGCTACTCTGAAGCTGAGATGGGAGAATCGCTTGAACCTGGGAGGAAGAGGTGGCAGGCAGCGAGCTGAGATCCTGACACTGCGCTCCAGCCTGGGCGGCAGAGCCAGACCCTGTCCCCAGTGTACATATCAGACTACAAAAAAAAAATAAGAAAGTGCTTAAAACATTTTTTTGGCTTTTTTAATTTTTTTGAGACAGAGTTTTGCTCTTGTCGCCCAGGTTGGAGTGCGGTGGCATGATCTTGGCTCACTTCAACCTCCACCTCCTGGGTTCAAGTGATTCTCCTGCCTCAGCCTCCCGAGTAGCTGGGATTACAGGCGCCCGCCATCACACCTGGCTAATTTTTTGTATTTTTAGTAGAGACAGGGTTTCGCCATGTTGAGCAGGCTTGTCTCGAACTCCTGACATTAGGTGATCTGCCTGCTTCAGCCTCCCAAAGTGCTAGGATTACAGGCTTGAGCCACGGTGCCTGGCCAAAAAAAAATTTTTTTTTTTTTGAGATGGAGTTTTGCTCTTGTTGCCCAGGCTGGAGTGCAATGGCACAAACTCGACTCACCGCAACCTCCACCTCC